ATTAATGTATGAAGAATAACTCAAAACATAAACAATAAGTACGACTTTTATATCATTGTATATTGTGAATAATACAAAGGAATCGAAAATACATGACATGCTGGCTATTAAAAGCCATGTAATCAAAATCAGTCTTATAAAATTTTGCGTTTTAGGATAGTCTGTCAATATTCCAAGTTTTTCCAATGTATCATCCATGTGATTGAATCTTTGTATATATTCTCGATATTTCTAAAAATAATAGAATTTTTAAAACTACAAGATCTCTTCTTATTAATAAATATAAATAAGATATATACGTGATATTTTGAACTCTAGAACACACACTTTTCGAAGGTCTCCCGCAGACCAATACCAAAATTTTGGTTTGTTCTATACAAAACCAAATTTTGGTTTGCTCTTTGTATATATGCATATTCTGAAGTAAGCATGTATATAATAGCGACGTATATAATAAAAATCTTATTAAAATATAAATTATGTTAGCGTATAATGGCTTATATAATATAAGAACATTTAAATAAAATTTTACTGTTCACAAGCTTTAGATTCTTTAAGTAAACATTAATGTATAAAATATAATTCAATAATATAATCATGGCTTTACTTTATCACATTTCTAAATAAATAATAAAGTTTATTTGTTTCATGATAGAAAGTGATATTCTTGCGATGATATTGGACATTACTATCTATTTTAGATGTCACACTATTAAAGTATTAAAACAATAACATTTACAAATAAAATATATATATTGCAATATATACCTCGTGTTTGCAGATAGCGATAATTATGGATATCAGTGCCACAAGCAAATTTACTATTACCCCAAAAAAATGCATTAAATTATTAAATACAATTATTGAAAACTGGTCAATTGTATAATATAACGCGTAAGTATAAACACCCCACACAGTAAATATATAGAAAAGATTCAAGCGATACAATTGGTCGGAAGGATATTTGAGAATTCCAAGACCCAAAAGAAAAGTAATTAAGAAAACAGGACTTAATGCTTTTTCTATACTATTCATCATGATGGTGACTCTCGCAGTTTCATGTACTAACTGTTAAAGCACCCAAGTTGCAAAGTTAATATTCTGCAAACGTTACGTTCATTATTACAATGAAATGTATCTAATTATATAGCAAATGTCTTTAAATAATTAAATAGCACAATTGAGATAATTGATTCGTACGAAGTATTTGCACTTTCTTTTGAATTGCATTTTGCTCATTACTTGTATATTTATTATGCAGCCTCGGGAAAAAAATGTTTCATATATAATTATATATAAAAACTATATCTATCGAGGGCATTAGGAGTCAGTGTTGGAAATAAATTGCGCAAAACTTACAGAAATAACGTGAAAAGTTTTAGAACGTTTCGGCTCCGTTTTGAGTTATCTAATAAATTTTATCTAATATCGTGAAAACGCATTCACCATCATGTGGTTACAGCTGCGATACAGTGAGAGCCTCCCTCCTAAAACTAAGCTTCGGACAAATTTTTACCAAAGGGAAAGTCGTCTCAGAGTACGCCCAGGAATATATCTCTTTAAGAATAAAAGGTTATGTTGAATCACTCTGTATATATGTGTATATATATATATATATATAATACACATATAACAGGATGTCTCATTTTAATTATCCACTTTGAATATCTAAAAAAAAATCATATTAAAAAAGTTGTTTTATCTATTACTGTGATAAAAAAGTATTCAAATTTTATTTTTTTTATATTGCGGGAAAACTATCAAAAAGCCAAAAGTCAAAAAGCCGACTATAAAAGGCCAAAAAGCCAAAAACTAAAAATTGTATATAATTTCAACATTAAGCTGAAAACGTATTATCTTAGAAAAATCATGTACTTTAATCCTTCACAATATGGCTAAAATGTAAAATGTATAAAAGATTTATAAAAGAGATTTTATAAGAGATAAACAATACATTTATTGCCTTTCAGGTAACAAGCTGACATTATTTGTCGTCATTCTGATATTAAAATGGCAATCTTTAATATCATTTTCATGTCTAATTAACCGCAAATAACAGCAGCTTGTTACTTAGGTTTTAATCAAAATTTCAAGATAATGTTAATCTTTACAAAAATATATTAAATATCGTCATAAAAACTATTTTTTAAACATTAAATCTTAATTAGTTTGAAAACTTATCGTACCGGAATTTTTTGGCTTGCAACAACATTTTCAACAATTTATAATCTATAATAGTCTATAAGAAACATCTATACAGTCCGATTCAAGATAATTTTTTGCTAATATGATATACATTCATAAAAAATGTGTAAATAAATTGAAATAAATAACAGTATTTAGGTGATATACATGTATAATTGTTATCTAAAGAAATATTTAATTAACAATTATATATAAAATTTATTTCTATATTAATTAAATTCATAAATAATAAGTTACAAAATAATACGGAGAATATTAAATCATCATATATTTCCTTTCCATACACGTTTTATTTCTAAATGTGAAAAATTAATAAAAATTTAATTTCTTTCCAAACATGTTTCATTAATTCCATTAAACTTTAATAATTGAGACATAGGAGAAGTATCCATTTGTAATATAAAAACAATAACGCTAAGTACCCAGATAAAGAACTAGAAGAAAAAGCACAATTATATAAATTATTGTTACACGGAAAGAACGGTTTTGTTAAAGTATTAAAAAATTTGACTAGATATAGGGGAGACCAGATCTCGTTGGTACAGTTTTTACAATTTCGACATTAAAGTTTTTAAATAATTAATTATTATTAAAATATATCAATATGATAGAAAGAATCTTTCTCTACATTTTTATATCAGTAATGGTTTTATACACTGTATAGTTTCTTTGCAATAAATAAAATACAGATATGCATTGTAGTTAACTTGCCCCGATATGTGGAATAAATTGATATATATCACAGTATAAATTGCCTTTATAATAAATTATATTACTAACAAAAATATAAAAAAGTAATAAAAATTAGATAGTGGATATGTACTTTTAGTAAAAATTGTATCTTTCAAAGTTATTTTGTAATGATTAAATAGCAAATTAAATATTACACAGAAAAATAAGTATAAATTATTTTAATTCTGCCTTATTTTAATATAGAAATATTAAACATAAAGCGCGCATTTGGTTAGAGTTAAATTGTAATTAAATGTTCACACGTGTAAGATAATCTAATCTTTTCTTATGATATGAGCCAACGCACCCCATCCAATTTTAATCATTTGTAATACTCGTTGATTTAAATGAAACTTAGAGAGAAACATTTATGTTGTAAAAAAAAATATTTTGCAGTAACTTTTCCATTGTTTCCTTTATCATAAATACATAAACAGAATGCAATGCTAATTTACCTCTTATGCCAACACACAAGCCTCAGTTTTCCCTACTAATATAAGAATAATTTTGTTGAACTATCAGATAATTATGCAGAACGCTGAAGCTGGTTGCTAGAACAACAAATTTTTTTACTGCATTGTTCATCATGCAGAAATTTCCTACTTAATTATTTTAATGGTTTAACAGAATTATTTTTCTTAAATATACGAAAAGTGCCACTTAATGGTCAAAGTAGATGTTAAACTAGTACATATTACACACTAATGTACATATTCTTTAAATGAATTTATCTAAAAAATATTGTTATGCTTTCTTACTATCGGACTTTAACACAATCCATCTGAAATATTAATAATCTTTCCATATTTAATTATATACATTTTAAAACCTGTGAAATTATTACGAAAAATTTTACATTGGCCAGGAGTCGAATCAGGATCTCTAACATTTCTTGCAAGCGTTGTAAATCTTTAGACCAAGGCCTTAGTAATAATCTTTGCAATAAATAATATGTACAGAGAGTAACTTATCTCTGAAATTTTTATTTATGCGCAAAAGTGTATGTAGACAATCGAAATGTGGCAATAATTTTAGTGCGCAAATATACTGTCGGCAAAAGTGATGTAGACAAATGATGTTGTAGGCAAATCCTCCCATTATTTTGTATCAAGCTAAATTTTTAGGTATTTCAGCAAAATCGCTCTTTCCGTATAAACTTATATAGATGTGTGAATAATTTTAAAGATTATAAAAATTAACCTTATTAATGAATTTATAGCCAAATTGGAACATGTCCATTCCGCGTAATTCCAATGGCCGAAGTGACATTTGCAAAAGAAACTGATAAATCTGTAATATAATATGATTCTTGTCAGAAGATACTATGATATATAAAATTATTTAAAAATTATTTATACTTAAAAAAGTATTAAAAAATGTATTTTACCTCTTCACGCATTTCCGTAAAGTGTTTGAGATCTGTTAATTTATGTATCAAAGCTTTAGTTTCTTGCATCTGAAATGATATAAAGTTTATTATGTTATTTACAATTTTTAAATTTATAATAATTGTATATCTTTCAATAATCGCTTAGACTCAAATAACTAAGTTAAGTCTGCTAAAATCACATGTGCTCATACTATGTTGGCGAAACTCCAACAGTAGCCTAACATGATTTACCATCTCAGTTATATGTTATTTACAATACACGGAGTAAGAAGTAAGAGTAAGATAAAATCAAAGAATATGAGAAGAATAATCATCAACTGTTATTGGTCAATGTATTATTCTTACTTTTTACTCCGTTTATTGTAGACGACGCATTAAATACTTTACAAACAAAATATTTTATAAACAAAAACGTAAAGTAGTAAGACGTAAGCAGTAAGGAAATCTTAAGCATCGTCTACAATAAACAGTAATAATAGAAGCTATAGACACGTCGGGATTAAGCTAATTTTCCGACCCAGCCAGAAATGGTTGATCGATCAATTACTTGTAGCTGGGATGTAATAGGACGTGTAAGGATAAATCCGTACCTAAAATCGATTTCAACCTGATAATGAGATCGAAACATTTATGTTTAAATTATTTGAATAATAATTGAGTAATTTTTTTAAAAAGAGCCAGGTTTTTATGTTCTTTTTATCTAACACTTTGATTATTTTTACAGTATTTCTTTTTATCAATTTTAATTTATATTTTCTAAAAAAAAAGTTTTAAGTTATCTTGGAGAAAGAGAAAGAGAGAGAAAGAGGGAGGGAGAGAGGGAGGGAGGGAGAGAGAGAGAGAGAGAGAGAGAGAGAGAGAGAGAGACAAGAAAAGGGGAAGAGAGAGAAATATCCTAATTTCAACTTTTGTGAGAACATTTTCCTTTTTAATATATAGAAATCAGTTTACCTTAGCACAAACACTTTCGCAAATGCAATTCAGTGATATAAACTTTGTTACAAATACCATGCACCACATGTCATTGGAAAGAATAAGTTTCAGTGCAGCTAAATCAGTCGCATGTATATGCGTCAGGCACAGTATCATATGGTAGTGAACATAAAATGTTGTAACCAAAATAATGAAGTAAGCTATCATCTGCAACGTAAATTGTATTCCGAATAAATCGTTCATTTCATGACTTATTCGACAGAGTTCCGAATGAAGGTGCCTAGAACGATATTATTTAATAAATAAATATACATCTATTACAAAATTATTATAAAATGAAATGTGTTCCAAAACTATTCCACCTCTACCTACATGTTTGTCTTTGGACATCTCTCTCTCTCTCTCTCTCTCTC